GTATGCAAGGTTTTGAAATATATCAAAACAAACAAAAATCATAGAACTGAAAGGCAAAATAACATTTATGATGAGACTTGGGTTCAGTAACCTTTTCTCAGTAACTCACAGAACAAGTAGTTAGAAAATCAGTAAAGACAGAGAAAATATGCATAGTACTATCATTCAATTAAACCTTATTGATATTTATCAAACATTATACCCAGAAACAAGAGAATATATGTCCTTCTGACATGAACCAACATAATTCACATTCTGAGACACAAAATAAACATTAATAAATTGAAATGAATTAAAGTTATGCAAAGTATATTCAGAGGCCACAAGAAAATAGGCTGGAGGTGAGTAATAGAAAGGGACAGAAAATATCTAAATAAACTAAACAACATACTCTAATAACCCTTGATCAAAGGGGAATCAATTAAGTCATTTTCCCATCACTAAGTCACACTACTCAACACTCACAATTTAAATGATGTTTGAGTTGGTTCACAGTTTCAGGGGGTTAAGTCCATTGTTGGCTGGCTCTAAAGCAGAAGTGTCATAGTAGAAGGGCATTGTAAATCAAAGCTACTCAGTTCATAGTGGCTGGGAAGCACAGCAAGGAAACAATGATATAGAAGAAGGGGCCAGAGACTATATATTTACCCATGCTCACACCTCCATGACCCACCCAACCACATTCACAAGTTGCTTTACTAATCCTCTTGGTGGATTCCAAGCTAATCAAGTTGACATACTTAAGGTTAACTAGCAAAGGGATATTAGAAAATAAATGAAAATACAACACATAAAAATGTGTAACACATAACTTAATCATTAAGTGCTTTTTAATTAAGTATTTATATTACAAAAGACAAAAGATCTCACATCAACAACTGAGGCTTTAACTGTAAGAGCAAACTAACCCAATGGCAAGCAAAAGGAATAAAATAATAAAAAACAAAAATCTAAAATTGAGAATAGAAAACAGTAAAGAAAATTTACGCAACCAAAGCTGATACTTTTGAGAAAACAATCAATAAAACTGAAAAACTATCTAGAATGACCAACGAGAAAAATGAGAAATAAAATACAAGCTTCAAATATCATGAAGTAGAGGAAAAGCACAATAAATTAGACACAATAGTTAAAGGTATCAAAATGATAGTAAGGAAATATGATAAATAACCCTTTTGCCTATAAATTCAGTCACTTAGGGCAAGTGAATCAATTACTTCAGAGATGCAAACTGTCAAAGTTCTCTTAAAAATAAATTGAATATATAGATAAAAGCCTATGATAAAAAAATTTCCAGATACAGTTGACTTCTATAGAACGTTTAAGGAATGTTTACTGCACCCAATTCCATACAGATCCTTTCAGAACAGTAAGAGAAAGAGAAACTTGTCAGCATTTCTCTGATACCAAATCTAGTCAAGTACATTCCAAAAAAAGAAAACTACAGACTGATATCTCTCATGACACAAAAGCAGAACTCCTTAACAAACTACCAGCAAATTAAAAGCAACAATACTTTAAACAATTAGTATAACATAAACAGTTGGAGTTTATCTTGAGAATGCAAACCTGATACCTTATTGAAAATTAATGAATATCTGCTGTCATATTAACAGACTACGGAAAAAAACTTCATTAGTGCATCAATTTATGCTGAAAATCATTTTACTATACCGAACTCGTCTCATGATTAAAACTCTCAGAAAAATAGAAACAGAATTTTTACAACTGGATCAAGAGCATCTATAGTAACATGACATGTAACATTACACTTAGTGATAAAAGACTCAATGCTTTCACTTAAGACTGAGCAAGGAAAGAATGTTCACTAGTACATCATCTACTCAACACTCAAGTGGAGGTCCTTGCTAGTGATATAACAAGAAACAGAACAGGCATAGATTTAAAAAGACAGCCAAGAGGTTGGGGATATAACTCAGTGGAGTAAGCTCCTGCCTGGCAAGCGCAAGGTCCTGAGTTTGATCCTTGGTACCGGGGGAAAAAAGAAAGACAGACAAAGAAAATGAATTGCTGGTATTCATAGAAATACTGATTTTCATTAAACATCTTCAAGTTTAAAAACAAATGCTACTGGAATTAATAAATGAGTTCAGCATGGTCATAGGATAGGAGATCAAAATATATAAACCAATCTTTACATGGTAGCAATGAATAGCTGGAAGTTGAATTTTTTTTAAAGTAGCATTTATAAAAACACTCCAACCATGAAACATTTCATTAACATCTTATAATAATATATACACAAGATGTTTATGCTAAAAACTTCAAAACAGGGCCGGGAATATAGCTTAACAGCACGAGCGCCTGCCTGGCAAGTGCAAGGTCCTAAGTTCAACTCCTGGTACCCCCAAAAAATAAATAAACAAATTTTAAAAACTTAAAAACAGTAATTACAGATATTACAAACCTACATAAATGAAGGAATATACTGTATTAGTGGTTGGAAAACTCCATATTATTAATGTGCCATAAACTTCAGACCGATTCAGACAACACAGCTCCAATCAAAATCCCAGTAGGATTTTCTTTGTAAAAACTGACAAATTGATTAAAAAAATTCATATACAAAGGCAAAGTAAGTAGGTTAGCCAAAACATTTTTGGAAAAACCAGAACATATCAAACTATCTAATTTCCATATTTATGACAAAACCATTGCTGTCCAGAAAGTACAGATTGGCAAAACAGAAGAGAGAATTCAGAAGTTAACCCACGTATAATTCATATGATCTACATTGTTATTTTTTGTTTTGTTTTTGTTTTTTTCCGGTACTGGGAGTCGAACTCATGACCTCATGCTTGCCAGGCAGGGGCTGTGCAGCTGAACTAAATCCCCAGCCCCTACATTGTTCTTATGGTTGACAACTCACATATAATTGATTAACTTACAACAAATATGTTGGAATAAACACGGACCATATGGCAAAAGAAAACTGGCCCATACCTTATTATTTTATGCAAAAACAAAACAAAACAAACAAACAAAAAAACAAATGAAAAGAGCAAAGGCCTAAAAATAGCTCAGCGGCGCAAGCGCCTGCCTTGCAAGTGCAAAGTCCTGTTTTTAATTCCTGGTACCAAAAAAATAAATAAATAAAATAAAAACTTCAAAACAGTAAGTAAAGATATTACAAACCTACATAAATTAAGGAATATACTGTATTAGTGGTTGGAATTTTTTTGCATAAAAATAAAACCTAAAATTATAAAACTTCTAGAAGAAAATAAATGAACTATGATTATGCCTAAAAGCTTACAAGAACCTCAGAGCTATCATATACAACAAAATAAAACTATGTGAAAATATGTACAACAAAAGCAGCTAACCTAACACATATTAAGTCAGGATAGTGTTCCTATCAAAGAGGGAAAAGGGCATCAATCCTGGTTGGCATAAACAAAGGGTCTGTTGTCAGGCATGTTACTGCTCCTTCTTGTCTCAGGATGGTGGCTCCAAAGTATGCTCAGGGTGTGAAAATTTGCCCAATTGTACATTAATATGCACATTTATCATATTTATATTTTATGCAAAACCATTATTTTTAAAGGCACCAATTGGGTGTCATTTGATAGTCTGTTTTCTTTTCTGAGACTCAGTTGTTCTTATACAGAATAAGAAGCTTCAACCAGTGACAGCGAACCTTTTAGAGCTCTCAATGATAACAAGCAGCCCGCTGTGGCACAGGTGCCATAGGTTCACCAACCACTGAAGACCATCTTAGTTCCTTGTGTTGAGTATTTCTTTAGTTGGATTTAGTTGATCTACTGTTATATATTTTGAGCTGACAGAATAATGTGAGTTTCTAGTACCGATTCTGTAACTTAAGATGAAGAAGTACATCTCACATGATATAAGTACTATGCTGTTTAAATAGAGTCCTTAAAAAGGGCCTCTGAGGTATTATGTGCTTTTCTCCCCAGGTCATGTTCCTGATCTCATCTCCTGTAACTCTCCTGCTTCTCACTCCTCCATAGCCACCCTGGGTCCCCTGGGTACACTGACAGTACACACCCACCTGGATTTTCAGTAACTGCACAAAGATGCTTGTCTCAAAGAAAGACGACCCTGTCTACTCACTTGAAAAGTGCAATGTCTATCTCTACCCTTCTTATTTTTCTTTCTGTAACATATATCACCTATCATGGTGCATGATTTTCCTTGGTGGTGTTTACTGCTTCTTACAGATCTTCTTCCACTAGGAATGTGAGCGCCAGTTGGCAGTGAAACCACTGACTAGGAGGTTCTCTGATGTATCTGAAGACCCTGGAGTGGTTGCCGGCTGCACTGCATGAATAATAGTGACATAACTCTATGTAACTAAGATTTTTAAAGAAAATAGAGATTTCTGAGTATGAAAAGGTTGTAAAGTAAATGTTCCCACTTTTAACAATCTGAATTGAATATGTCTTTGAATAAACCTATCCTAGTAAATATTATTGAATTTTTAAACTGGTATAAAAGAGTCCTGTAGCTGACTACAGAAACTAGGTCATTCTTATAAGAAGGACAGCAGAAAGAAACATTCAGAAGAAAGCCCTCAGATTACTACCTTGACCACTTAGAGCAGTGGTGGAGAACCTGTGGCATGTATGTTACAGCTGGCTGTTTCCACTGAAAGCTCTTAAAAGGTTCACCATCACTGATTTAGAGTTATTACTCTTAGTTTAGAGACAGAATAAGAATCACTGCTATGTCTTTGATTTTTCCTATCAGATTTAAAATACGAAAATTGGAAAATAAACAAGTCCATCTCAGAAGAGCCTGGAGATAAAATATAACAATTTTCTGCATGATATGGTGACATGTTAAAATCAAAACGTATTTAATTACTGAAGCTACTGTTGAAACTAGCTGTCCTACTTTTAACATCATAACGAACAATAGTGGAGACCTGGATAATTCCTCCCATTTTGATAGTACACTAAGCTACTCACTAAAGATAATAACAGTCATTATCCATCCATCCCCATTCCATGCAGGATTCCAATGTGTTCATTACTGCTCTCATTGAAAGAGAAGAGAAAGGAACTGAGGCTCAGACGTTAAGAAGATCTACCCCAGGTTACCCAGCAAAGAATGCCAATGTGGAGAAAAGAACAGTGCATCTGGAGTCAATACACTGAAGATATGGGAACTGCCCTGGTATTACCTGGCTGAATGCCCATGAAGAGTCGCTTTCCTTCTACAAAACAGAACTTGGGCTCAAATTAGCCTCTCATGACAGAGCAACAGATTCTTGCTAGGTCTTGAGTTAGCAACACATGGACTAAATAAGTAACAGATAATAAAAAAGTATATACATAAGCACTAGACTAATAACCGTAAGAATAAATAAACTTTGAGCAGTGTTTATGGACACAAGGGTACCTCTAACTTTCAAACGTGTGTGGAAGCCATGCTAAAGGTAATATGCATATACTATTATGGTATCACAGAATTCATGACAGCTGTCAGTATTTTATGCATATTGACATATTCACTGCATAATTTATACATAGTACATGAGTGCTGGTAATAAAATAGGAATTTGACATTTAATCTCTGAAAGTCCTTCCACTTTTAAAATGTTAGGTTGTAGAGCCTGAACCATATCTCTGTGACAAAGCTAAGGTTCTTCCTCCCACTACAATAATTTTAGTCATCTTTTTAGCCTCAGGAATCACTGTTTAATCTCAGGCTCAAAGCTCAACATGAAATGCAGGTAAAAACTAGGGAGCTTTATTTGATCAGAACTTGTCTATGTAAGGAGACTTCCCCTAACAAGGAGGCTGCTTTCTGCAACCCAGACCATTCTCCCATGAACTCACAGAACTCTGTGAAGTAGGTTTAAAATGATCTTTGACCAGGGGTTAAAATTCATACAACTTCCAACATACGAATCAGAAAAAAACATGAATCTCTCAACAACAACCGCAAGAACAACAACACGAGAGACAGAATGTGAAAGGGCAAGTGAGTACTAAACACAGGACACAGTGCTAACTTCAGTTTGCAATTATAAAAATGCAAATTGAAGCACTGAGTTCCCATTTTTAGACAACCTTTTGGGGAAACATTTAAAAGACGGAATTTATTCAAGGTTAGTGAGAGCATCAGGAGTCCGTCTTAAATATCACTGAAAGGAATGAAATGAGACCCCTTTTCTGGAGGGCTATTTCAGTAGGTATCAAAATGGAAACGCACATACAATTTTAACTTAGCAAGTCCATTCCTGAAATCTACCCTGCTGAAAGGCTCAAAAATTCCATGACGATAACTGCACTAAGATATTTGACTCGAATGGCCACGGATGAAAGAATGTAAATATTTTCCAGTAGGGAAATGACAAGGCCCACGCATCCCACAGAATTCTATGCCACCATTAAAAAGGCTAAGACCTATATGCACTATCCTTCTGTGAAATCATATGAAACATATATTGCTTAGTACAAAGCAAAAACCAGATGCAAAACAATAAATACACTATATTTTATGATACACAAGAAACTCTGGATGTACATGCACAGATCATTAACACTGATTTCTTCTAGGGAAAGGAGTTCAAAAGAATTTTACTTTTTCTTTTAGGTACTTCCATATCATTTGATTTCTGACTAGAGGATGAATTAATTTGTAATAACATTAAAAGAACAGGTAGTGCATCCCCTGGTGCCTTTCTACTTATAAGTTACTTGAAAGAGGAAATTTAAGACTAAATTACACATTAAGATCAGGGCATAGCTCTGAGCCTTACTTCTATGCCTCTTTTGGTGGTTAAGGGTGTACAATTACAACGGCCAGGTGCATTTTATGGGAAGTTAAGCTTACACATTCCTGAGACAGAAAACATGAAATACTTCCAATAATGGAGAGAAGGATTTCAACTATAAAAAAGGATTTAGTGGCATTAATATAAAGAACTTCCTTAAAACAGCCAGGCACTGTTAAAATAATTAATAAAGCAAAGGGCACATGGAAAGCAGTTCATGTATGAAGCTGGGAAGTGTGCAGTGGCTTATACGTCACACTTCAACAACTCTTAAAAAAAACAACTCCATCACAAAGGGGATCAGCACCCATGTCCATAAAAAGAGAGCTTTAAATTTTAAGTGGCTTTGTAGCCACTGTGATTATAAAGGTTAAATGGGTATTAAAGGAGCATTTTTCCTTCTGATTAAAATTTTATGCAAGGATAAAGTTAAATATTTGAAATGAAGTACAGACCCTGTTAACAGTTATGGGAGATGCCGTGAACATTAAGATCTAACTGGGTGAGTGGGAGCTTATATTTATTTATTTATTTATTTATTTTTTAAGCAAAAGGTGGTGTAAAATTGGAACCTTCTTGCTGTGGCAGACTGACTGAAAACCTGTTAAAAGGCAATTGACTAATTCTGGCTTATTTTTTTATTATGGAGAAGACTTGGCTTACACAGAACAGGAGAGAAGCACAAACAATCACACACATGCAGCCGAACTGGCAATTAAATCATTATTCATCACAAATAGTTAATCACCCTTTTAAGCAAAGAGGGTGGAACCCAAACTGCAGCTGTATTTTAAGATCCTGAATAAGAAAATTCACCAGCAAGTGACAAGAGTTCATAAAACCTAGACAGAAGCTTTGTACAATTAGAAACCTCCCTGTCTCAGGCATCATTCCCTTACAATTATTCAGCATCTTTCCAGCTCAGCCTTCTCAGCTTGATCAAGTAGGTACACGGCTGCATTAAGGTCTCACTAAAGTGTTGCCTGATGGAAGAGACTATATATCAACCATTTCTCCTCCCTCTCTGTGTAATATCACAAAGCAACCGCACCTTACATTTTAACAAAGTACATAAAAGAAATACATCCTATCCAGGGCAGCGTATCCCGGATGACCACAGGAAAATTGCCAAAAAGCTGACCAGTGAGGAAAGATAAAATGGATTTGGATGGTTAGCCTAGAAAGAAAGCAGTTTATGGGAGAACATTTAATGTCTAGGAGAATGAACAGACATTATTATGTTCCTGGAGAGGGCTCGATTTATGAGCTGCATTGTCTACTGTCTTGGAAAAGTATCAGAATGCAGTATCAAGAGGAAAGGATCCACAGGCTGATGGAGTTCAAGTTCAAGTTCCCTTTAATACACATGTAAAATGGACAAATTACCAAGCTTCTCTTAATCTCAGTTCTCTCTCTCCTCTCTCCCTTGTCACTCATCCCCTCCCTTCACCTCTCATCCTCTTTCCTTCTTCCCTTTTCCTTTCTCTGCCTGTCTCCCCCCGCTCCCCCCGCTACCTCCCAGATCTGTCTGTCTGAGGATTGAACTCCCCGGGATCATCACACTGAACTACATACATTCCCGGTCCTTTTTATTTTTTATTATTGACACAGGGTCTCACTAAGTTCTTGAGTTCCCCAGGCTGGGCTCTAGCCTGTCATCCTTTGGCCTCATCTCCCAGACTCCTGGGATCACAGGCATGTACCACCACAACTGGCTCTGCTTATTAAGCAGGATGAATCAGTGTACCCCGTTGTTTGACATGTACCACATTAAAATTCACTATTAAGTTATCACTGTTCTTACATTCTATATGTGATAAAAACATTAAATGACAACCATAGACACATAGATGTACAAAGGATATGAAGTGTTCTTTCTCACTACCTAACTTGAATCAACCCCCACACCAGGAGTCTTCTTGAAAGTTTTCTCATTTATTTCTTACAAATGAGATGTTCCTAGTCTTTTGGTAAAGAACGTAGAGATTTAAGGTGGTACATTAACAAATGTTTTCATCATAGAGTTCAGTTTGATCTTAATATTTCCTGACCTTACAACATCTTTTCGCACTAGAAGGAGCTCTAGAAAACACAACTATAAGTTATAGGTCCTCCTCTCAAAAGCTGCTATTACAGGGAATACAAAACACACACAAATGAATAAGTACATAAATTAAGATAATGAACGTCAAAAGTGGCTGGAAGGAGTGATTACTTCTAACTTCTAACTCTAACCTTCAGGGACAAGATAGTAGCAAAACTGGACACAAGATACACATCTAAAAATCTGGCAGATGCATTCAATGCTAGGCACAGAATAAAGAGAAGCAGAGGTCAAAAAAGCTGTGATTTCTTGGGGGAATACAAAGTAGGTCAGGACGATTGCAGTGCAGGATGTTTAAAATAAGATGTGACTAGATAATCTGGGCAGATGGAAGAAGGCATCACCTCTCCACCACTTCTATATCTAGATGTCTACAAGACTGCATGGTTTTAACCTATGGACAACACTTAGTCTATAGGAAAACTCACTCATTAGGCATTACAAACAAGACAGATTGGATTCACATCAAAATACCTTACCTCCACTTTATCACTTCAACCTTCTTTATGGAATGCATGGCTACCCTTGGCCTGTGAGTTAAGCTGAAGAAGAACATTGATGACCCGACCAGGGCTTTCTGACAAATATACTGCAAGGCCCAGCTCCATGGCCTGTAGGTTCCTGTCCTCCCTTACTTTGTCAGCTCACCAAAGCCCACCATCACTCTCAGAACCCAATGTCGTGTTTGTATCTCCAAGACAACTAGCGGAAGACAATCCATGAAACAGCCATTCTGCTCCTTGGTGGTGGTGGGCAATGGGGTGGTGGATAAAAACCAATGGATTTTTTGTCAGGGTGTATTTTGCAGAGATGGGAGTTTTGAGCTGAATTTCAAAGTTAAGGATTTGTAGAGAAAAGAGAGGTAAGTTCAGTCAGGGGAGAGGATGTGAAGAACAAGAGATCTGGTTCAATCAGAAGGGATGCTTTGAAGATCATAAAGAACTCTAATGGGATCCACAGAGAAACATAGAAAGTAACTTGGCCTAGGAACCAGAAGAAGGTCATCTGGAGCTGTTTTGAACAACTGTCAGAAAGGCCCTGGTAAGAACTGGCTGGTAGAGGAAAGGGCTGGAAGGAAGGTCCCGAAGTCAAGGTGAATTTCTACTAAATTGTTCAGGAGAAAACGCGGCCATGTTCACATTTGGGACAGGAATATTCTTTCACTTTTCAGCTTGTGCTTTTGTTACCAAGCTGTGCTTAACTCAGGCTCATCTTATGTTCAGCTCCAGGAAACAATGAGAAGAGCTGGAGAGATACGGAATCCACGGCGTGCGGCTAAAAACCACAACACTTAGGGAAACCGTTTTTCCATTCACTTACTCCTGACGCCACTTCCATCTGCCCCCTTTTGCCAAAGACCTTTCAGGAAAAGCCCATAATGGATGAGTGGTATAAGAAGTAATCAAATGGCTGAACTTTCTTTTACTTTTGGGAGAAAGGCCAATACCCTTAGCAAGGCCTAAGTCCTTCCTGGTCCATCTCTCAAAGCTCATCTTGCATCATACTTTTCCCTCAAACTCCGAGCTCTAACCACCCCAGGCCTTTTTTCAGTTCCTCAAGGCATTGTGCTGCAGAGACTGAGACATCTAAATTCAGACTCATTCCTCACAGCTCAGAGGGGTATCACTTCCTCAGGAGTACTAGCCTTCACTCCTCCGTCTAGGTCAAGTTCCTTTGTCTAACTGT